CAAGGTCACTGGTGAAGTGGGGTAGTGCAACAAGGTCACTGGTGAAGTGGGGTAGTGCAACAAGGTCACTGGGGTGAAGTGGGGTAGTGCAACAAGGTCACTGTGAAGTGGGGTAGTGCAACAAGGTCACTGTGAAGTGGGGTAGTGCAACAAGGTCACTGGTGAAGTGGGGTAGTGCAACAAGGTCACTGGTGAAGTGGGGTAGTGCAACAAGGTCACTGTGAAGTGGGGTAGTGCAACAAGGTCACTGTGCAACAAGGTCACTGTGAAGTGGGGTAGTGCAACAAGGTCACTGGTGAAGTGAGGTATTGCAACAAGGACACTGAAGTGGGGTAGTGCAACAAGGTCACTGGTGAAGTGGGGTAGTGCAACAAGGACACTGTGAAGTGGGGTAGTGCAACAAGGTCACTGTGAAGTGGGGTAGTGCAACAAGGTCACTAGTGAAGTGGGGTAGTGCAACAAGGTCACTGGTGAAGTGAGGTATTGCAACAAGGACACTGAAGTGGGGTAGTGCAACAAGGTCACTGGTGAAGTGGGGTAGTGCAACAAGGCCACTGTGAAGTGGGGTAGTGCAACAAGGTCACTGGTGAAGTGGGGTAGTGCAACAAGGTCACTGTGAAGTGGTGTAGTGCAACAAGGTCACTGGTGAAGTGGGGTAGTGCAACAAGGCCACTGTGAAGTGGGGTAGTGCAACAAGGTCACTGTGAAGTGGGGTAGTGCAACAAGGTCACTGTGAAGTGGGGTAGTGCAACAAGGTCACTAGTGAAGTGGGGTAGTGCAACAAGGTCACTAGTGAAGTGGGGTAGTGCAACAAGGTCAATAGTGAAGTGGGGTAGTGCAACAAGGTCACTGGTGAAGTGGGGTAGTGCAACACGGTCGCTGGTGAAGTGGGGTAGTGCAACAAGGTCACTGGTGAAGTGGGGTAGTGCAACAAGGTCACTAGTGAAGTGGGGTAGTGCAACAAGGTCACTAGTGAAGTGGGGTAGTGCAACAAGGTCACTGGTGAAGTGGGGTAGTGCAACAAGGTCACTGGTGAAGTGGGGTAGTGCAACAAGGACACTGAAGTGGGGTAGTGCAACAAGGACACTGGTGAAGTGGGGTAGTGCAACAAGGTCACTGGTGAAGTGGGGTAGTGCAACAAGGACACTGAAGTGGGGTAGTGCAACAAGGACACTGGTGAAGTGGGGTAGTGCAACAAGGTCACTAGTGAAGTGGGGTAGTGCAACAAGGTCACTAGTGAAGTGGGGTAGTGAAACAAGGTCACTGGTGAAGTGGGGTAGTGCAACAAGGTCGCTGGTGAAGTGGGGTAGTGCAACAAGGTCACTAGTGAAGTGGGGTAGTGCAACAAGGTCACTGGTGAAGTGGGGTAGTGCAACAAGGTCGCTGGTGAAGTGGGGTAGTGCAACAAGGTCACTGGTGAAGTGGGGTAGTGCAACAAGGTCACTAGTGAAGTGGGGTAGTGCAACAAGGTCACTAGTGAAGTGGGGTAGTGCAACAAGGTCACTAGTGAAGTGGGGTAGTGCAACAAGGTCAATAGTGAAGTGGGGTAGTGCAACAAGGTCACTGGTGAAGTGGGGTAGTGCAACACGGTCGCTGGTGAAGTGGGGTAGTGCAACAAGGTCACTGGTGAAGTGGGGTAGTGCAACAAGGTCACTGGTGAAGTGGGGTAGTGCAACAAGGTCACTAGTGAAGTGGGGTAGTGCAACAAGGTCACTGGTGAAGTGGGGTAGTGCAACAAGGTCACTGGTGAAGTGGGGTAGTGCAACAAGGACACTGAAGTGGGGTAGTGCAACAAGGACACTGGTGAAGTGGGGTAGTGCAACAAGGTCACTGGTGAAGTGGGGTAGTGCAACAAGGACACTGAAGTGGGGTAGTGCAACAAGGACACTGGTGAAGTGGGGTAGTGCAACAAGGTCACTAGTGAAGTGGGGTAGTGCAACAAGGTCACTAGTGAAGTGGGGTAGTGCAACAAGGTCACTGGTGAAGTGGGGTAGTGCAAAAAGGTCACTGGTGAAGTGGGGTAGTGCAACAAGGACACTGGTGAAGTGGGGTAGTGCAACAAGGTCACTGGTGAAGTGGGGTAGTGCAACAAGGTCACTGGTGAAGTGGGGTAGTGCAACAAGGTCACTGGTGAAGTGGGGTAGTGCAACAAGGTCACTAGTGAAGTGGGGTAGTGCAACAAGGTCACTAGTGAAGTGGGGTAGTGCAACAAGGTCACTGGTGAAGTGGGGTAGTGCAACAAGGTCACTGGTGAAGTGGGGTAGTGCAACAAGGTCACTGGTGAAGTGGGGTAGTGCAACAAGGTCACTAGTGAAGTGGGGTAGTGCAACAAGGTCACTGGTGAAGTGGGGTAGTGCAACAAGGTCACTGGTGAAGTGGGGTAGTGCAACAAGGTCACTTGTGAAGTGGGGTAGTGCAACAAGGTCACTAGTGAAGTGGGGTAGTGCAACAAGGTCACTAGTGAAGTGGGGTAGTGCAACAAGGTCACTGGTGAAGTGGGGTAGTGCAACAAGGTCGCTGGTGAAGTGGGGTAGTGCAACAAGGTCACTGGTGAAGTGGGGTAGTGCAACAAGGTCACTAGTGAAGTGGGGTAGTGCAACAAGGTCACTGGTGAAGTGGGGTAGTGCAACAAGGTCACTGGTGAAGTGGGGTAGTGCAACAAGGTCACTAGTGAAGTGGGGTAGTGCAACAAGGTCACTAGTGAAGTGGGGTAGTGCAACAAGGTCACTAGTGAAGTGGGGTAGTGCAACAAGGTCACTGGTGAAGTGGGGTAGTGCAACAAGGACACTGAAGTGGGGTAGTGCAACAAGGACACTGGTGAAGTGGGGTAGTGCAACAAGGTCACTGGTGAAGTGGGGTAGTGCAACAAGGTCACTGGTGAAGTGGGGTAGTGCAACAAGGACACTGGTGAAGTGGGGTAGTGCAACAAGGTCACTAGTGAAGTGGGGTAGTGCAACAAGGTCACTAGTGAAGTGGGGTAGTGCAACAAGGTCACTGGTGAAGTGGGGTAGTGCAAAAAGGTCACTGGTGAAGTGGGGTAGTGCAACAAGGACACTGTGAAGTGGGGTAGTGCAACAAGGTCACTGTGAAGTGGGGTAGTGCAACAAGGTCACTGGTGAAGTGGGGTAGTGCAACAAGGACACTGGTGAAGTGGGGTATTGCAACAAGGACACAGAAGTGGGGTAGTGCAACAAGGTCACTGGTGAAGTTGGGTAGTGCAACAGGGACACTGGTGAAGTGGGGTAGTGCAACAAGGTCACTGGTGAAGTGGGGTAGTGCAACAAGGTCACTGGTGAAGTGGGGTAGTGCAACAAGGACACTGTGAAGTGGGGTAGTGCAACAAGGTCACTGGTGAAGTGGGGTAGTGCAACAAGGTCACTGGTGAAGTGGGGTAGTGCAACAAGGACACTGTGAAGTGGGGTAGTGCAACAAGGACACTGTGAAGTGGGGTAGTGCAACAAGGTCACTGGTGAAGTGGGGTAGTGCAACAAGGTCACTAGTGAAGTGGGGTAGTGCAACAAGGTCACTGGTGAAGTGGGGTAGTGCAACAAGGACACTGTGAAGTGGGGTAGTGCAACAAGGTCACTGTGAAGTGGGGTAGTGCAACAAGGTCACTGTGAAGTGGGGTAGTGCAACAAGGTCACTGTGAAGTGGGGTAGTGCAACATGGTCACTGTGAAGTGGGGTAGTGCAAAAAGGTCACTGTGAAGTGGGGTAAAGCAACAAGGACACTGTGAAGTGGGGTAGTGCAACAAGGTCACTGTGAAGTGGGGTAGTGCAACAAGGTGACTGTGAAGTGGGGTAGTGCAACAAGGTCACTGTGAAGTGGGGTAGTGCAACAAGGTCACTGTGAAGTGGGGTAGTGCAACAAGGTCACTGTGAAGTGGGGTAAAGCAACAAGGACACTGTGAAGTGGGGTAGTGCAACAAGGTCACTGTGAAGTGGGGTAGTGCAACAAGGTCACTGTGAAGTGGGGTAGTGCAACAAGGTCACTGTGAAGTGGGGTAGTGCAACAAGGTCACTGTGAAGTGGGGTAGTGCAACAAGGTCACTGTGAAGTGGGGTAGTGCAACAAGGTCACTGTGAAGTGGGGTAGTGCAACAAGGTCACTGTGAAGTGGGGTAGTGCAACAAGGACACTGTGAAGTGGTGTAGTGCAACAAGGTCACTGTGAAGTGGGGTAGTGCAACAAGGACACTGTGAAGTGGGGTAGTGCAACAAGGACACTGTGAAGTGGGGTAAAGCAACAAGGTCACTGTGAAGTGGGGTAGTGCAACAAGGTCACTGTGAAGTGGGGTAGTGCAACAAGGACACTGTGAAGTGGGGTAGTGCAACAAGGACACTGTGAAGTGGGGTAGTGCAACAAGGACACTGTGAAGTGGGGTAGTGCAACAAGGACACTGTGAAGTGGGGTAGTGCAACGTGGGCACCTTTTCACTGTAATCAGTGATCCAACTGATTACGATGAAATGTGATCACATGCAATATGTCGGCCTGGGATACCAGAGAGTAAGGTAGTCCGCAATCCCAGTGACTGTTTCGCCTAGGAAGCAAAGGGACAATATTGGCCTGGGTAGCAAGAGACTATGGTAGCCGGTCGTTTCACTGACTATAGTGGTCTGGGATGAAATGCCAGGGACTATGCTGGCCAGTTGTTCCATGAACTATACTTGCCTGACATGCCTGTGCTATGGTCGTATATCGTCCCAAAGACAATGGTGGCCTCGGATACCAGTGACTGCGGTGGCCTGGGATGCCACTGGCTATTTTCGTCTGTGATCCAAGGGACGATGGTGGTCTGGGATGCCAGGAAACTTAGTGGCTGAGACCTCGGTGGCCTTTGATACTTGGGACTATCGTGGCAGGGAAGCAGTTGCTTATGGTGGCATAGGATCTAAGGATCTATTTTGGGCTACGATTTCAGGGTCTGTTGTGGCCTTGGATTTCATGGACTATGGTGGAGTGGGAATGTGGTGGCCTGGGACTGTGGTGGCCTAGCATACCATGGGCTATTGTGGCCTCATATTCCGATGACACTTTAGGGATATGACCCTGTGGACCAAGACGGCAAATAATGCCAAGGACTATCGTGGCATTGGATGTGATGCCAGAAAACTTGTGAACTGGATGCCAGACATAATGTCGGTCAGGTGTGCAAAGGGACTTTGGCCGCCTGGTAATACATTCGTGTGGTTATGGTGGTCGGGTATACCAAGATCAATGGTCTATGAACTGGTGTATAGGATCCTGAGCCTACTGGGCTCTTATCATATTTACATTTGAAACTGTGTATGAAGTCAGCCTCCACCACATCACTGCCTAACACATTCCATCTGCTGACACTAAATTCTTTCTAATGTCTCTGTGGCTCCTTTGAGTACTAAGTTTCCATCTGTGTTCGTGTACAAATGTGCTAAATATTTTATTTATCTACCCTGTTAATTCCTCTGTGAATTTTGTAGTTGATGATCATGTCTCCCCGAACACTTTTCTCTTCCAGGATCTTCAGGTTTAGTTCCCGTATGTTGTTGTTGTTGAAGATTAAGTCACCACTAGAGGTGGCATGGGCATGAGTAGCCCGTAAGTGGTAGAGGATTGGAGAAAATGTAATCCTTAGTTGTGTAACATCTTGAAGTGTCTATGGGTCTCTCGGGGGAGACAGAGGCTCCCTTAGCCTTTCCTCGTAACTCATACCTCTCAGCTACTCTGGTGGAATACCTCTGAATTTTCTCTAACTTTGTCTTGTGTTTAATTAAGTATGGACTCAAGGCTGGCACTGCATACTCTAGGATTGGTCTGATAAATGTGGTATACAAGCTTCTGAACGATTCCTTACACAAGTTTCTATAGGATTTCACCTCTTAAATGGTACCCTATGCTCGGCCTCCTGCTCTCTTCACCTAATATTAGTAACAGTAATAATAGTAAATTAGTAACTAATAGTACTAGTAACACTTACTATTAGTAACTAATAGTAATAGTAACTTAATAGTAATAATAACACACTTAATAGTAACCTAATAGTAACGTAACACTTACCTTGAGTTAAACTTTAGTAGCCATTTTCTGGATTATTTCGGCAGTCTCTCAATGTCGTCTTTTAGTCTCTATCTTACTCTATCTTTATCCTTCCCTCATAATTTTAGCATCATCAGCAAACATTGAGAAGAATGAGTCTATACCCTCTGGAAGATCATTTACCTATATATATCAAAAACAGGATGGGTTCGAGTACAGAGCCCTGTGGGATTCCGCCTGTGACATCTCGTCACTCTGAGGTCTCCCCCTTCACAGTTACTCGCTATGTCACGTTGCTTAGATACTCCCTTATCAATTGGAACACCGCGTCTTTTACTCCTGCCTGTTTCTCCAACTTTTGTAACAGCCTCTTTTTGGGTACCGTGTCCAATAATATACAGTCTGCCCACCCTTCTCTTTCTTGCCAAATTTTTGTTGCCTGGTCGTAGAATTCCATTAAACCTGTGAGGCATGATTTACTATCCCTGAACCCATGCTGGTGGTATATTACAAAAGTCCTTCTCTCCAGAGGTTCTCTAAGTTTTCCTCACGATCTTCTTCATCTCACTGCCTGGTATTCAAATTAGGGAAACTGGCCTGTAGTTCAGTGCCTCTTGCCTGTCGCCTTTTATGTATATTGGGACTACGTTACCTATCTTCCAGCTTTCCGGTAAGTCCCCTGTTTCCTGTGACTTGTTATACACTGCAGAGAGGTGGTATACATTGTGCTTCTGCACCTCTTTCAGTAGCCGTGTTGAGATTCTGGAAGGCCCAACAGCCTTTCTCACATCCAGATCCAACAGCTTCCTTTTGACCTAAAATTCCTCCAAGGTTGCTTGGTTTACGCCTCCTCTCTCAGTACAGAAACTGCTCCTTGCTCTATTGTGAAGATGTCTTGGAATCTCATGTTGAGTTCTTCACACACCTTCTTATCTCTCCTTGCTCTCTGGCGTCTATTATTGATTAAGTTTCTCCATGTTCATGTATTTAATTACTTTGCTCCCTTACATATCTGATTGAACCATGGATTCCTTTGTTGCTTTTCATTTTTTCTTCTTTTGAGCCTGGATATATCTGTCTGCAGCTTCCTGGCACTTCAGGGTGAAGTAGTCAATCATATTTTGACCAGACTTTTCTCTGAGCTCTGTTTCCCATGGTATTCCCAAATTAGGAAGTTCCTTGTCTCATCATTGTTTCCTCTTCGGTAAGCCAACCTTTTCCTTTCTGATCCTTTCCCATCGCATCAGGCTTGGGTACCCATGTGCATGGGAAATAGGCTTACAGGTTCCGGAAGATGAGAGGAAATGTCAGCACTGTGGAGAAATGCCCGACAGACCACTGGAACATTATCTAACACAGTGCACAGTTACAAACCCATTAAGATTTCAACTTAGATTAAACAGAGCAGAAGTTATTAAACACGTATGGCAAAATCTTACTAAAGCGACCATACGAGTCATAATTACTCATACTCCGTCCAAGTAAAACAGAAACAAGCAACACTTAGTGGGCCAGCCAGAGGCTTAGGGCCCGCGCAGGAATATCCCTGCAAAAAAAAAAAAAAATATTCCTTCCTTGGATAGGTTATCCGTACCTCCACCAGATACTCAAATGTCAATACACTGTGATTACTCATTCCCATGGGGGCTTCATATTTCACTTTCCTTATTTCTGACTCATTCAAAGAGAATATCAGGTCGAGTCTGGCTGGTTCGTCATTGACTCTCAGTTTTGAGGGTTCCCTGATATGTTGGCTCAGAAATTTCCTTGTTGCAACTTCCAAGAGCTTAGCTCTCCATGACCTGCAGCTCCATGTGGTCTATCTTTCCATGATTGAAGACACCCATGATTAAAAGACTGGCACCATTCCTGTAGGCAATTTGAAGGTGCTCTCTCTATTAAATTCCCAACCACTTGGGCTGGACGGTAGAGCGACGGTCTCCCTTCATGCGGGTCGGCGTTCAATCCCCGACCGTCAAAGTAGTTGGGAACCATTCCTTTCCCCCGTCCCATCCCAAATCCTCATCCTCATCCCTTCCCAGTGCTATATAGTCGTAATTGCTTAGCGCTTTCCCCCCTCATAGTTCCCTTCCCATCTCTATTATATTAATGGTAGTGGTGTATCAAACTCCTGCTTGTGACTTCTGTCATTTAATATAGAATTATATATTACTGTTAATATTATCTTAGGTCCTCTCATTGTAATATTTCCTGTTATGTAATCGTTGAATCCTTCACTGTCCAGGATATCCATGTTTTCAAAACACAAGTCGTTCCTTATCATCAGGGCCACTCCTCTTCCTCCTCCTTCACTGCCTTCCCTCTTTTGCCTTACTCAATTGTTGTCCTGCAGAAACACCGCATTTGTTATGATGCCTGACAATTTGGGTTCTGTGAGTGCTATTACATCTACATTTTCTTCCTGCACCCTTTCGGCCAGCTCACTTGCTTTATTTGTAATCCTATGTTTCAGTACCTTAAAGCTTACTTTCCTTAGACCTTACTCACATACTCTCCGCTGTGATGTAGGAAGCTGCTACATTAGCAGAGACATGTGGGTAAGTACTCCTGTTGGGTAGTTAACTGGGGATGGAGGGAGAGGTGGTGGGGGATAGGTGGTGCATGGGATGGCAGGGACTACGGGGGCCTGGGATGGCAGAGACTACGGGGGCCTGGGATGGCAGGGACTACGGGGGCCTGGGATGGCAGGGACTACGGGGGCCTGGGATGGCAGGGACTACGGGGGCCTGGGATGGCAGGGACTACGGGGGACTACGGGGGCCAGGGATGGCAGGGACTACGGGGGCCTGGGATGGCAGGGACTAAGGGGGCCTGGGATGGCAGGGACTACGGGGGCCTGGGATGGCAGGGACTACGGGGGCCAGGGATGGCAGGGACTACGGGGGTCAGGGATGGCAGGGACTACGGGGGCCTGGGATGGCAGAGACTACGGGGGCCAGGGATGGCAGGGACTACGGGGGCCTGGGATGGCAGAGACTACGGGGGCCAGGGATGGCCGGGACTACGGGGGCCAGAGATGGCAGGGACTACGGGGGCCTGGGATGGTAGGGACTACGGGGGCATGGGATGGCAGGGACTACGGGGGCCAGGGATGGCAGGGACTACGGGGGCCAGGGATGGCAGGGACTACGGGGGCCTGGGATGGCAGGGACTACGGGGGCCTGGGATGGCAGGGACTACGGGGGCCTGGGATGGCAGGGACTACGGGGGCCAGAGATGGCAGGGACTACGGGGGCCTGGGATGGCAGGGACTACGGGGGCCTACGGGGGCCAGGGATGGCAGGGACTACGGGGGCCTGGGATGGCAGGGACTACGGAGGCCTGGGATGGCAGGGACTACGGGGGCCTGGGATGGCAGGGACTACGGGGGCCTGGGATGGCAGGGACTACGGGGGACTGGGATGGCAGGGACTACGGGGGCCTGGGATGGCAGGGACTACGGGGGCCTGGGATGGCAGGGACTACGGGGGCCTGGGATGGCAGGGACTACGGGGGCCTGGGATGGCAGGGACTACGGGGGACTGGGATGGCAGGGACTACGGGGGCCTGGGATGGCAGGGACTACAGGGGCCTGGGATGGCAGGGACTACGGGGGCCTGGGATGGCAGGGACTACGGGGGCCTGGGATGGCAGAGACTACGGGGGCCTGGGATGGCAGGGACTACGGGGGCCTGGGATGGCAGGGACTACGGGGGCCTGGGATGGCAAGGACTACGGGGGCCTGGGATGGAGGGACTACGGGGGCCTGGGATGGCAGGGACTACGGGGGACTGGGATGGCAGGGACTACGGGGGCCTGGGATGGCCGGGACTACGGGGGCCTGGGATGGCAGGGACTACGGGGGCCTGGGATGGCCGGGACTACGGGGGCCAGGGATGGAGGGACTACGGGGGCCAGGGATGGGAGGGACTACGGGGGCCTGAGATGGCAGGGACTACGGGGGCCTGGGATGGCAGGGACTACGGGGGCCTGGGATGGCAGGGACTACGGGGGCCAGGGATGGAGGGACTACGGGGGCCTGGGATGGCAGAGACTACGGGGGCCTGGGATGGCAGGGACTACGGGGGCCTGGGATGGCAGGGACTACGGGGGCCAGGGATGGCAGGGACTACGGGGGCCTGGGATGGCAGGGACTACGGGGGCCTGGGATGGCAGGGACTACGGGGGCCAGGGATGGCAGGGACTACGGGGGCCTGGGATGGCAGGGACTACGGGCGCCTGGAATGGCAGGGACTACGGGGGCCTGGGATGGCAGGGACTACGGGGGCCTGGGATGGAGGGACTACGGGGGCCTGGGATGGCAGGGACTACGGGGGCCTGGGATGGCAGGGACTACGGGGGCCTGGGATGGCAGGGACTACGGGGGCCCGGGATGGAGGGACTACGGGGGCCTGGGATGGCAGGGACTACGGGGGCCAGGGATGGCCGGGACTACGGGGGCCTGGGATGGAGGGACTACGGGGGCCAGGGATGGCAGGGACTACGGGGGCCTGGGATGGCAAGGACTACGGGGGCTTGGGATGCTGTACACTATGGTGGCCTGGGATGCTGTACACTATGGTGGCCTGGGATGCTGTACACTATGGTGGCCTGGGATGCTGTACACTATGGTGGCCTGGGATGCTGTACACTATGGTGGCCTGGGATGTTGTACACTATGGTGGCCTATGTGGGAACCGACCTGTGAGATTTATATTTATTTAATTTATATGAATTTATATTTACGTTAATTTATATACTTCGATAGCAATTTGTATAATGATAAGTGGACTGTATTTCTGCAATAATCTCATAATCTCACAAATCGATCCTCTACACATTAGGGGGGTTTATTAAATTAATATATATGCAGCCAATCAAACTACAGTAACTACATACATTGAAGAGGTTCCTTATCTTATAGTACAGCAGGTTAGTCCACCAGGTATAACTAGGGTGTAGACACCAAATTATCCTCTTTGAGGTAGCTTCCATATCACCCAGTAACTGGTGCACAAATCTTGCTTCCTCGTCTTGACCTGTCAAAAGTGCGCTAGCTGTGAAGCCAGAATCCTATATATGACAAGTATTTCAGAGAAAACTGTACATGGAACATGAAGACCTGGCTTAATTACCTTTAGTTTGAGGCTTCCACGTGCTCTAACTGGGTCACCCTATATAATGACATTAATGGCCATAAATGAAAGATACACGGGTTTCGGAAAGAACACTTAACTTGAATTGTAGACATCGTGTTGGAGATGGTACCTTTGGTTTCCATAACACTACGTCCAAGTAAAATTAACAGGAGCCGAATTTGCTCCCGTGTGAGCCTCTGGTCTCAATATAAACAATGGCTGTTTAACACTCCATACTATTGACGTTACTGGCCGACATTGTCCAGATATGATAGGAGCTAAATTTGCTCCACACGTCTCGGAGGTGACACAACAATGGCCGCCTCCTTCCTCCCTCCCTGGCTTACATTGTCCAGATGTCCAAAGGTGATAGAAGGGTCACATTTACTCTACTTTACTACTGATAATTAAATTAATTTATATAAGATGTTTTATGATGGTAAAGTCCAAAGACTAATGTATTTAAGAACAATTCCCAGCAAAATAGCTGGTGAATTATAATAGTATGTGGTGATGATATCCCGTTTTCCTTAGACGGTAATTCCACTACAAGTTACGTTTTCTATGGGTAACTTGTTTATACAACACAGCTCTTATCTGTCTGTATGATATTATATGGTGTCGGATTTTCCGACAGCCTAGTATGCTGTACACTATGGTGGCCTGGGATGCTGTACACTATGGTGGCCTGGGATGCTGTACACTATGGTGGCCTAGGATGCTGTACACTATGGTGGCCTGGGATGCTGTACATTATGGTGGCCTGGGATGCTGTACACTATGGTGGCCTGGGATGCTGTACACTATGGTGGCCTGGGATGCTGTACACTATGGTGGCCTGGGATGCTGTACACTATGGTGGCCTGGGATGCTGTACACTATGGTGGCCTGGGATGCTGTACACTATGGTGGCCTGGGATGCTGTACACTATGGTGGCCTGGGATGCTGTACACTATGGTGGCCTGGGATGCTGTACACTACGGTGGCCTGGGATGCTGTACACTATGGTGGCCTGGGATGCTGTACACTATGGTGGCCTAGTATGCTGTACACTATGGTGGCCTGGGATGCTGTACACTATGGTGGCCTGGGATGCTGTACACTATGGTGGCCTAGGATGCTGTACACTATGGTGGCCTAGGATGCTGTACACTATGGTGGCCTGGGATGCTGTACACTATGGTGGCCTGGGATGCTGTACACTATGGTGGCCTGGGATGCTGTACACTCTGGTGGCCTGGGATGCTGTACACAATGGTGGCCTGGGATGCTGTACACTCTGGTGGCCTGGGATGCTGTACACTATGGTGGCCTGGGATGCTGTACACTATGGTGGCCTGGGATGCTGTACACTATGGTGGCCTGGGATGCTGTACACTATGGTGGCCTAGGATGCTGTACACTATGGTGGCCTGGGATGCTGTACACTATGGTGGCCTGGGATGCTGTACACTATGGTGGCCTGGGATGCTGTACACTATGGTGGCCTGGGATGCTGTACACTATGGTGGCCTGGGATGCTGTACACTATGGTGGCCTGGGATGCTGTACACTATGGTGGCCTGGGATGCTGTACACTATGGTGGCCTGGGATGCTGTACACTATGGTGGCCTGGGATGCTGTACACTATGGTGGCCTGGGATGCTGTACACTATGGTGGCCTGGGATGTTGTACACTATGGTGGCCTAGTATGCTGTACACTATGGTGGCCTGGGATGCTGTACACTATGGTGGCCTGGGATGCTGTACACTATGGTAGCCTAGGATGCTGTACACTATGGTGGCCTAGGATGCAGTACACTATGGTGGCCTGGAATGCTGTACACTATGGTGGCCTAGGATGCTGTACACTATGGTGGCCTGGGATGCAGTACACTATGGTGGCCTGGGATGCTGTACACTATGGTGGCCTAGGATGCTGTACACTATGGTGGCCTAGGATGCTGTACACTCTGGTGGCTTGGGATGCTGTACACTATGGTAGCCTAGGATGCTGTACACTATGGTTGCTTGGGATGCTGTACACTATGGTGGCCTAGGATGCTGTACACTATGGTGGCCTAGGATGCTGTACACTATAGTGGCCAGGGAGGCTGTACGCGATGGTGGCCTGGGATGCTGTACACTATGGTGGCCTAGGATGCTGTACACTATGGTGGCCTAGGATGCTGTACACTATGGTGGCCTAGGATGCTGTACACTATGGTGGCCTAGGATGCTGTACACTATGGTGGCCTGGGATGCTGTACACTATGGTGGCCTAGGATGCTGTACACTATGGTGGCCTAGGATGCTGTACACTATGGTGGCCAAGGATGCTGTACACTATGGTGGCCTAGGATGCTGTACACTATGGTCGCCTGGGATGCTGTGCACTATGGTAGCCTAGGATGCTGTACACCATGGTGGCCTGGGATGCTGTACAATATGGTGGCCTGGGATGCTGTACACTATGGTGGCCTAGGATGCTGTACACTATGGTGGCCTGGGATGCTGTACAATATGGTAGCCTGGGATGCTGTACACTATGATAGCCTAGGATGCTGTACACTATGGTAGCTTGGGATTATGTACACTATGGTGGCCTAGGATGCTGTACACTATGGTGGCCTGGGATGCTGTACATTATGGTAGCCTAGGATGCTGTACACTATGGTGGCTTGGGATGCTGTACACTATGATGGCTTGGGATGCTGTGCACTATGGTGGCATGGGATGTTGTACACTATGGTGGCCTGGGATGCTGTACAGTATGGTGGCCCTGGGATGCTGTACACTATGGTGGCCTGCGATGCTGTACAATATGGTAGCCTGGGATGCTGTACACTATGGTGGCCTAGGATGCTGTACACTATGGTGGCCTAGGATGCTGTACACTATGGTGGCCTAGAATACTGTACACTATGCTAGTCTGGGATGCTGTACACTATGGTGGCCTAGGATGTTGTACACTATGGTGGCCTAGAATACTCTACACTATGCTAGTCTGGGATGCTGTACACTATGGTGGCCTAGGATGCTATACACTATGGATGCCTGGGATGCTGTACACTAAGGTAGCCTGGGATACTGTACACTATGGTGGCCTAGGATGCTGTATACTATGGTGGCCTTGGATGCTGTACACTATGGTGGCCTAGGATGCTGTACACTATGGTGGCCTAGGATGCTGTACACTATATGGTGGCCTGGGATGCTGTACACTATGGTGGCCTGGGATGCTGTACACTATAGTGGCCTGGGATGCTGTACACTATCGTGGCCCTGGGATGCTGTACACTATGGTGGCCTAGGATGCTGTACACTATCGTGGCCTGGGATGCTGTACACTATGGTGGCCTGGGATGCTGTACACTATGGTGGCCTAGGATGCTGTACACTATGGTGGCCTGGGATGCTGTACACTATGGTGGCCTAGTATGCTGTACACTATGGTGGCCTGGGATGCTGTACACTATGGTTGCCTTTGATGCTGTACACTATGGTGGCCTGGGATGCTGTACACTATGGTGGCCTGGGATGCTGTACACTATGGTGGCCTAGGATGCTGTACACTATGGTGGTATGGGATGCTGTACACTATGGTGGCCTAGGATGCTGTTCACTATGGTGGCCAAGGATGCTGTACACTATGGTGGCCTGGGATGCTGTACACTATGGTGGCCTGGGATGCTGTACACTATGGTGGCCTGGGATGCTGTACACCATGGTGGCCTAGGATGCTGTACACTATGGTGGCATGGGATGCTGTACACCATGGTGGCCTAGGATGCTGTACACTATGGTGGCCTGGGATGCTGTACACTATGGTGGCCTAGGATGCTGTACACTATGGTGGCCTAGGATGCTGTACACTATGGTGGCCTGGGATGCTGTACACTATGGTGGCCTGGGATGCTGTACACTATGTTGGCCTGGGATGCTGTACACTATGGTGGCCTAGTATGCTGTACACTATGGTGGCCTAGGATGCTGTACACTATGGTGGCCTAGTATGCTGTACACTATGGTGGCCTGGGATGCTGTACACTATGGTGGCCTGGGATGCTGTACACTATGGTGGCCTGGGATGCTGTACACTATGGTGGCCTGGGATGCTGTACACTGTGGTGGCCTAGGATGCTATACACTATGGTGGCATTTGATGCTGTACACTATGGTGGCCTGGGATGCTGTACACTATGGTGGCCTGGGATGCTGTACACTATGGTGGCCTGGGATGCTGTACACTATGGTGGCCTGTGATGATGTACACTATGGTGGCCTGGGATGCTGTACACTATGGTGGCCTGGGATGCTGTACACTATGGTGGCCTGGGATGCTGTACACTATGGTGGCCTGGGATGCTGTACACTATGGTGGCCTGGGATGCTGTAC